GCAATTCCAGGGCCATTTCACGAGCATGTTGTCTTGGGTTAGACGCAACAAGCGTCTTCAGAGCATCAATATCAATTCCAACATGTCGGCCCCTGCCATCATAGTTTTTAAGGCTAAAATCACCTGCATGAAATTTGCTGAACACTTACAAATGTTAATAACATTTCCATAAACTTCTTTGATATTCTTTGTGGCTACAGAAGCATTGTTTCCCTTCTTGTATTCAAACAGCATTACATGCCGAATGTGTGCCATCACTGTAATGGATTAGAGTATATTAAACTTTACACATTATATAGGCTACACTAACGTGATGTTTAGGTAGTTTGTTTAACTACTATATGTGATGTACGTTTTTTGGTGGGGGGTTAGTGAAAGTGTTCCAAAACGTTAATTTTTTGACGACCTAATAGTTTCTTCTGAATTTTACTCCCAGTATATAGTATTTTTTTGTGTGTGAAATTCGTGAATGTTCATAGCTGCAGAATAAAAATACTCCTCATTTAAAAGGTAGACCTATTGTAGAAAGTTATTAGTCCTATTAGAGATGTCTTAGATTTGTCATGAAGCTCTTCCAAAAGTGGAATTGTACATAATTTTGGTTTCATCTGATGAGATCTTGCTATAGACTAACGTGGATTAAAATCAAGAACAAACTTGTTTTATATAGAAAGTTTTCCTGACCTGATACCTTACAGAATATCAGTTACATATGTCTTAAAGATTATTTCTCTGGTTTTATTGAATAATCATTTTATTTTTAATGGATGAATAAATAAGCAAATTAAAGGAACAGCCTTGGGAGTAAAATCGGTGCCTTTGTACACAACTTGAGTTATGGGATTTCTCAAAATTAACAGTTGTTCAAAGTATTGATATCATTATCTTGACAAATGTTTTATCATGAAAATTAAAAATCTAAATTTAGCAGGTTTAAAACAAATTTTGAATAATTTAGAATCAATTGTTTGTTTTACTTGTGATGGGAATAATAAAGAATTGAGTTTCTTAAATATTTTAGGAATCAAGAATCAAAAGGGTGATATTGAAACTAATACTTACAATACGGGCTTACCTCTTTTCACATAAAGCTATCTTGATCTCCTTCTGCTCTCTAAGCATTGCCAATAAGTATTGGTGATCAGCACACCAGTTTATATACACCATCAATTTAGCACCACTTCTGAACATGTACATATCATGTGACTACTCTTCACCAGTAGAATTGCACCACCTATATTGGCTCAGGTAGTTATCTCTGCTATTCTCACTCCATCTTCACTTTCTTGTTTGGCACAGCATTGTTTAGACACGTTTTCTCACATGTGGCTACCATTTATGAATGTGCTTCTTTGCCATTTCAGTTTTTTCTTTCAACAGTTTTATATTACTGTATTTGCATTCACTTGT